TCAGGTGCTCTTTAATTTAAGTTGTTTATGGGCCCATTTAAACTTCGACTCTGTGGTAATGCACATTACAAAAGTTGCCTCACTGTGGTGGCATTCACTGTGGCACCCCAACGCACCTCCAAATGCAATTGCGCAGTGCAGCATATAGTGTCCTGTGTGTTGCGCTGCGATAATATGCAGTACTGTGCATTTTAGTTGGGCTGTTTAATGCACTACACTGCAGTGTCTGACAAGACTTTCAATCACCATGTTTCATGTTACACCCATACTTAGGGTGTAACATGAAACATGGTCAGATTGCAGACCCCCTATATCACACACACACACCTGAATCACAGACCATCAGCCACCGTGGCAGGTAATTTCAACGGAATGCAATTGTGGTGATGTCACCGCACTTTTAGTCCATTGGCACTTTCTCCCTTTCATGTTACTGCATGTCTGTACCTTGGTCCGAACAAAGACGAGAGGAACAGTCTGCAGGAGCCACAGCACCAGTAGATTGTGGTGTCAACGCTTTACTGGCTCCTATGCAAAAAATAATAAATGCACATTTCTTCTGTTATGAAGAAGTGTGCATTTATTTATTTTTTTGCAAAGGGTTTAATTTCCCTTTAAACTAAATTTAGCCAAATGGCCATACTGAAAAATGCATAAGGTAAAAGCCGAAAAAAACCTCAAACACAGTAAAGTGATGCAAAGTTCACTGCTGTTCAAACATTGATTCTCAGCAGACAGATGTTTGAAATGTACATTGAGCAGTGCCAAGTGATATTATGGCTGGCTTCACAGGATGAAAGATTAGCCTAAGAGAGCTGCAGGCTGTATGTTTACTGAGCCACACAAAATCAATATGTGAGCTTCCCTATACTACGTTGAAGTGAAAAGTAGAATGCATTCACTGGCTGCATTAAGTGCCTCTGGTGTTTTCAAATCCTCTCAGATGGATGCAATACCTTGCAGTAGTTGAGAGGCTTGCATGTCTCGGTGACCCTGAAAGTATCCCTGGCAAGTGTTCTATGCTGCAGGTAAGGCCATATTTAGTAATTATGTCAAAGGAGGAGATCAGACAAAAAAACCTGGGGCTAAAAACTCTGACTTATAAAACAATGTTATGGAACCAGTAAGGCACACAGGTAAACCAGAGGGCATAATTATAAAGATTATAAGTTTTATCAGCTAGGTTAAAATAGTGATGGATCAGAGACTGAACTCTGCCTACATGTAAGGTACCTTGAGAAATTAGTGACAGATAATTAATCTAAATCATTTAGGCATCAAAATATTGGCGTTTTGATTAACTGTAGCTTAACCAATGCTAGCTATAGCTGCATGTGACTGTATATCATGAAATGGACAAATGAAAACATTTACAGACATATTTTACCTTGGCTCTTTTAGTATAACAAGCTCTCTTCAGAACTTAATTTAAGAATCTGCACAGACTAGGAACATTAAAGCCTTTCTCCAAGGGAAAAAAATACCCTTGCAGTGCGGCTACCTGTAAGGCACCAAGCACCTCCACGCATGCGCATGGCCCCGTTTGCCAAGTAACTGGAAAACGGGCACTAGTATGCATGCGCGCACAACGAACTTCCGCACGTAAACGTGTGCACGTAAGGCGCACAGTAAATGACACATCTGCTGCTAATGGATTGGCCTATATAAACCAGCCTGCCATATTCTAAGTTGCTGGATGATCTTCAGCTAGTTCCCTGTGTTCCTTGCTCCTGCCTTTTTTACTGACTTCCTGTGTTCGACCCAGATTGCCTCTGACCATTCTTGATTCCTGCCCGCCTCCTGACCTAGGCAGGTTCATTGGACTTCCTTCTGCCTGTTCTATACTTTGCTGCTCGGCTGGATTTGACCCTTGGCTTCTGTTTGGATCTCGCTACTGTCTTCTGCTTCAAACGGCTGCCCGCCCGGCTTGACCTCAGCTCTGCTTGACCTGCCTCCGTTCCAGATTCTGGACTTTTCTACCTGGCACAAGTGTGTGCTACATCCTTGGCACTCGTGCAGCTTGCTGGCACTCCTCCTCTGTTCCCACCCTCAGGGTCGAGGGACACGAGCTGCAAGGGAAGCCTCCTCAACGGTCGTTCTCCACTCAGGTACGTGACACTACCCATACACTGCAAGGGTTAACTGCTCATTTAGGCCTAGGGGATTATGTAAAGCAGTTTTACTTACCTTAGCCCTGCTCCCCCAGCAGTTGGTACTCACCTCTCTCCCTGCCTCTCCCTTGGTGTCCTCACATATAATGCTCTGCATTAGACGTGATGACGTCAGCAAGCTTCCAACCACTATTTTGAGGTTGGGGTAAAAGGCTGCGGGTGCCAGTCTTGGAGCCTGCAGGAGCAGGGATCAGGTAAGTAAAAGTGCTTTATACAATACTCCTGAACAATTACAAGCAGTTAAAACTTGAAGTGTGGAGGTAGCCCCACTACATTGGTTGTTTTCTTTTTTCGGGAGGCTTTTGAGTATTTACATATTCTTAACAGGCAGTAGGATGTTTAAAACAAGTCCTCACTGACCTCTGTATGTACAAGCACTGTGTGGAGAAATTTGACTTTGCCAATTATATTCTGGGGTAAATATATGGGGGGGTGCAAATTACGTAAACATTGCATTGGGGAAAATTACAGGAAAGTGTTTTTTTACTAATTTATTTCCAAAGAAAAACCTCAAAGAAATATAACTATCTGAATTTGCTACCAAATTGAAGCCCTAACTTTTCAGAAAAAATAATGCATAATACGTTAGGGTAGACTACAAAACCTAAAAGATATAATGTGCGGAACAGAGACATTGCCAAAATGAAGAAAAAAAAAAGCTCTGGGTCACAAGAGGATTTAGGGAGAAAAAGGGCTGGGGACTTAAGTGGTTAAATGAGAACTATGGGGTTAAGTATTTTCCCCATAGTTCTCCTTAGGGTAACGGGAGGACATGAACTAGCGTCCTCCCGTCACCCTAGCCGCAGTATACCGCGAGCAGCTGCTTGCGGTATACTGAGGCGCCGCAGCTGAAGCGGATCCCGACAATTGTGACGGGATCCGCCCAGCTGCGTGACTGACAGCTGGCTCTGCCTATCTAAAGGCAGAGCCAGCTGTACCCGCCCCCTCCCCCGTCCGTTCTGCCAGTCAGCGCCGGCAGATCGGAGCGGGGAGGGGGGAATCCAGCCCCTCCCCTGTCATGGCAGAGAGCCGTGACAGGATCGAGAGGGGAGCGAACGCCGGTATGTGTTCGCTCACCTCCCGATCTACTGAGCCGACCTGTGACTGTCTCATTGTCACAGGGCGGCTAGAACTATGAGGTGAGTGAAAAGCACTCACCTCATAGTTCTCCTTTAAGTAAACCAATTATAATCTACATATACTCCGAAGAGGTCTCTCTAAAAAATAAAAAAAAATAAGACTATCAAACCCAGAGTTTGTTGGATTATAGTCTCTCTTTTATCAGGAAGCAGGGCGACAAGTCATTACATGCCGCCTGGTTTCCTTAATGGGAATTTTGGTATCGGCATTCGGTATCAGTGAGTACCGAAAAAATATCAGTACTCGATACCAAAAACCCGGTATTGGTGCATCCCTAAGTCTATGAGATACATCCCTTCAGACTCACGCTGTTAGAGATTTCAAGTTCTATCGACTTTTACATGCTTTTAACCCCCGATTTTTTTTAAAGTACAATTCTAGTTGTGTCGTACTAATAAATTACGTTTTTACACTATGGAGGCGCGTTTTGTCCTTTGTTCCGATGGTCTTTTTGACCGGTGGGAGCTGCCTCTTTTGTGTTCCATTAATCGTTACAGCTGGCCCGTTTTGCAGCTGGAGGCGCCGGTATTGTTTTTTTCGTAGCTCATCCCTAATTCTGACCCAAGATAACTAAGCCAGGAGCTCTAAAAATGTTAGCCCTATGTGAGTTTAGGTTGATAATAACATTGATATAGTTTGGTAAACGTTTTCATAGCATACCGTTACAAACACAAATCATTCTATTGATTCGATGATCAATTATTATTTACATTCAGTTTCATAATGCTCAGATGCCAGCTTTTTTACTTGCCACTGGTGCAGGCTAGAGAAATGTGTGTATATAATATATGGTTATGACCTACGGTATGCATGCTGCTGCCAAATTAGTAGCAATTGGTCCCTCTCTAGCTATAGTGATATTATAAAATTACATTTTCAGTGGAAAGGCTTAGAATTTAGCCATCTTCAAATAAACCACTGCAGAGAAAACACATTTTCTTTTGTCTATCACAAATAGAATACTGAAATGGGTTGTTCTTGTCAATTACAGGTGAAACTCGAATAATTAGAATATCGTGCAAAAGTAATTGCAGTAAGTGCTGCAAAAGGGGCCCAAACCAAGTACTGAGTACATATGCATGCTTGTACTTTTCAGAGGTCCGATATTGTTCTATGTACAATCCTTGTTTTATTGATTGCATGTAATAATCTACTTTTTTGAGGTTGTGGATTTGGGGTTCTTGGGGTTTTCATGAGCTGTAAGCCATAATCATCACAATTATGACAAATCACGGCTTGAATTATCTTGCTTTGCATGTAATGAGTCTATCTCATATATTAGTTTCACCTTTTAAGTTGCATTAGTGAAATAAATGAACTTTGCATGATATTCTAATTATTCGAGTTTCACCTGTATGTCGCATATGCACTTTAATTTTCCTGCCCCTTTGTTTTTTTTCTCCCCATCAGTCAGCTGAAAAATCTAAAAATTGTATATAAATGAAAACAGAATTACGGGCTAGCATTAATGTATCTGACCATAGAGTGTCTGGTATTTGCCCCTGCTATGCACAAAGGAAAAAATACCACTAAACTAAGTAGTACATAATGCACAGAAAACATGTGGAGGCTTCCAATGCTAATGATTATAGACTTGTGGTTGCAATGTGATGACATCATATTGACACCTAATTTGTCCATTTACATGCACAACACATTTATCAGAGTAATGTCAAAATTGGAACTTACACTCCAGTTTGTCCTCAGCAGTCCCCCCTTCCAGTAAGGAAAAATAGCAGAACACATCATGCAGACTCACTCGGCCTATCTCTGGAAAAGAACAGAGCACACAAAGCCATGAAAACATGTCAGCTCCATTACTAAACCAAGCATAGCATTTTTCTCCAGTTTATTGTTTTCATTAAAACTGAAGAAAGGTCAGTAAATTGTGCATTCATTGCTTTGAATTTCTCACTTATACTAATTTGAATTTTTTTTAATGGAAATTTATTTTTAGCATTGTAGCAGAAACAGATATATAGTGAATACATAACTGAAAATAAATAACAAACATTGTTTTTTGCACTCTGTAAACTCTAAGAGTAGGACTACACAGGCATGGTGCAGATGGCAGCCTTACATACAAACTAATACCTTATGACCTTACATGTATTGGTCTTATGGGGGGCATGTTAAAATAGGTGTTTGAAAAGGAACTTTACCCCCCACATTAATGTCTCCCAAAACAGTTACTTTTAAGGTATGCCAACTGTCAATGTTTCCAGTGTGCTTATTTTAGCTTAACCAAACCTTCAAGCACTCAAATGGCTGGTGTCATAGCTGATCACAATTAGGTCCAGGGAGACCACAGGCAATACTAGTTCTTTGCTCTCTGCCTATCCTTTTTTGGCACAGCTTCCAAAGTTTTGTTCCTCCTAATAAATGTAAGGCAACAATAAGGAGGCTGGTTACAAGCACTGTGCATCTGCAATGAACAATCTGTATCGCATAGTAAACTCCCACTGCATTCTGGGGCGGGAGGGGGCGTGGTGGAGCATTGAAGTCAATGGCCTTGTATCTAAGCTTAGACTGACACTATCCATCACTGAGCTTCTGCAAAGCATGTCCAGTGTCAAATTCCACTCTGTTTCCTCAGCTGGGAAAATGGAAATGGTTTCCTCTTAATAAATTTACTGCTGCAGTGGAAGAGAACTAGCGCAAGAGATCTACTTACAATAAAACTACACAGCGTTTCATCAATACACAAATGCACTGTATTGCCAAAAGTATTGGGACGCCTGCCTTTACACGCACATGAACTTTAATGGCATCCCAGTCTTAGTCCATAGGGTTCAATATTGAGTTGGCGCACCCTTTGCAGCTATAAAAGCTTCAACTCTTCTGGGAAGGCGTCCACAAGGTTTAGGAGTGTGTCTATGAGAATGTTTGACCATTCTTCCAGAAGCGCATTTGTGACGTCAGGTACTGATGTTGGACGAGAAGGCCGGGCTCGCAGTCTCTACTCTAATTCATCCCAAAGGTGTTCTATCGGGTTGAGGTCAGGACTCTGTGCAGGCCAGTCAAGTTCCTCCACCCCAAACTCGCTCATCTATGTCTTTATGGACCTTGCTTTGTACACAGGTGCAGAGTCATGTTGAGACAGGAAGGCGCCATCCCCAAACTGTTCCCACAAAGTTGGGAGCATTAAATTGTCCAAAATGTCTTGGTATGCTGATGCCTTAAGAGTTTCCTTCACTGGAACTAAGGGGCCAAGGCCAGCCCCTGAAAAACAACCCCACACCATAATCCCCCCTCCATCAAACTTTATACTTGGCACAATGCAGTCAGGCAAGTACCGTTCTCCTGGCAACCGCCAAACCCAGACACGTTCCTCGGATTGCCAGACAGAGAAGCGTGATTCGTCACTCCAGAGAACACGTCTCGACTTCTCTAGAGTCTAGTGGCAGCGTGCTTTACACCACTGCATCCAACGCTTTGCATTGCACTTGGTGATGTAAGGCTTAGATGCAGCTGCTCGGCCATGGAAACCCATTCCATGAAGCTCTCTACGCACTGTTGTTGTGACAATTTGAAGGCCACAGGAAGTTTGGAAGTCTGTAGCTATTGACTCTGCAGACAGTTGGGGAATTCTGCACACGGTGCGCTTCAGCATGTGCTGACCCCGCTCTGTAATTTTACATGGCCTACCACATCGTGGCTGAGTTGCTGTTGTTCCCAGTTGCTTCCACTTTGTTATAATACCGCTAACAGTTGACCGTGGAATATTTTGTAGCAAGGCAATGTCACGGATGGACGTATAGCACAGGTGGCAACCTATCACGGCACCACACTTGAATTCACTGAGCTTTTGAGAGCGACCCATTCTTTCCCAAATGTTTGTAGAAGCGTCTGCATGCCGAGGTGCTTGATTTTATACACCTGTGGCCATAGAGGTGATTGGAACACCTGAATCCAATGATTTGGAGGGGTGTCCCAATACTTTTGGCAATAGAGTGTACATAAATATATTCTCCTCCTAGTGACCCTCTGTTCTATTAGAAGCCTTACTGCACAACTGCTGAGATATCAGGACAAGCCACCTAAAAATTACAATGTTGTAAATCAGTCTAAACAGGCTGCAAGACTTGAGTAAGAGGAGCTACTACTACGGAGCAGATACTATGTGGAATAAGAAAACATGGCTGCTCCAAAATATTTTTTAAACTACTCATAGAAACAAGTTAGACTCTGCTGATAATAAGATTGTAGACCTCGGATCAGCACAATTTGCAGCAGCGTCTATCAGCCCAGCACACAACTTGTATTTGGCCACTGAACAATGTTATTAATTTTCAGTGATGAACTTCATAGACTTCTAGGACCTGCCCATGCATTAGTCCTGAGTAGTGATGAAGCTGGGCTTGGTGTGAAACCAGTTTGCCTGAGTTCCCACAAGCCCACTCAAAACTGTGACTGCCACCCCCTCCTCCCGGCCCAATCAGTTGTTGGTTACAGTTCTGAGCGGGCTTGGATGAATTCAGGCAAACTGGGTTCGTACCAAGCCCAGGCTCATCACTAGTTCTGAGTTACTGCAAAGGCAGCCCATAGACATATATACAGCTTACCAGTTCAGTACAGCATTCCTCAAAATGGCTTAATAGTTACAAAAGGTTATTTAAGAAAAGACGCTAGGCTAAATCCCCTATGTTATTATAACAATCTTTTTTGCCATAAGAATTGTGGTCCTAAAGCCAATAAAAGCTGAAAATAACAGTCACGTGGCTGAAAAGAATGATTGTTATGGGGCATAACACACATGTTGTAGTTTTGTGTCTTGTAATGATGCAGTGATGGGGTAATCTATTATTTATGGATTTTCAAAAACAATAACCATGCATGACCGGGCTGTATCAGTGCTGACGTGCCACAGGGGATTATTTGGTAATGTTAACAAGCAAATATGCAGTACACTGGGAATGAAGTGAAATTACTTTAGTCTTCCCCCCCTACAGCTCCTGCTGTGTCATCATTCCTACAAGCTGCACTAAAAAAAGTAGAGAAAATAAAATGGGAGCAAAAGCCAAGTTATTGCTCCTAGAGGCCAGATTACTTATTCAATTTTCCCACAAAATAAGGGAAGGAACGACGGGTAACAGCTCTTTGTTCTCCTTTTTTTTTTTAACCAACCCCCAAGTTTTTTTTATATCAATACATTTTTATTGGAATAGTACAAGTTCTTCAGGTTTTCTTATAATACCGCTAACAGTTGACCGTGGAATATTTTGTAGCAAGGCAATGTCACGGATGGACGTATAGCACAGGTGGCAACCTATCACGGCACCACACTTGAATTCTCCGGAAAATTGAGAACGACCCATTCTTTCCCAAATGTTTGTAGAAGCGTCTGCATGCCGAGGTGCTTGATTTTATACACCTGTGGCCATAGATTGGAATATTTTGTAGCAAGGCAATGTCACGGATGGACGTATAGCACAGGTGGCAACCTATCACGGCACCACATTTTTCTTTTACAGAAAAGAAAGAACAACAGTTACGAAGCAAAACAAAACTAAGAAAAGCAAATCAGATCAAATCTAAGCGGCTTGCAGTACAGCAAAACGTTAACAAGTAGCTTTTGATGAACTGTATAAAGATTTTGTGTGAAGACATCCAGCATAACCACAGAATACAGCTTTGCAGTATGCAGTGCAATTACATGCAAAGACCTTGTGAATGCATCGTAATTATAATTATTGTATTATTTTTTGTTTAACCCTTTAGTTGCCATGGTTGCAAGTACTATGTCCATAGCAGTGCAGCCCTCTAAACTGATTGCTGAATGCTATAGCAGTTGGGGGGCAGTTTGCATTCATTCAGTTGACTGTCGGCTTTCTAATGGAAGTGATTGGGGCGGACTCACTTCCAGAAGTCCTGCTGCCCACACCAACCTCCCATGTTTGGGGTCAGCTGGTAGACTGGAGAGAGATCAGTGAACATTCATTTGCTGAACTCCCTCCAGTGACTGAACCTGGAAGCGGTAAGGATTTAGTCATTTCCAGTTTGTTAGCCCACTATGTGATAGCAATTTAGTTAAGTATTAAAAAAAAAGTTTAAAAAAATGAAGGTTAAATAAAATCAATAAAAAAAGGCAAACATTTTTTAAGAGAGGGAGATTCCTCCATCCATGCTGTTTAAATAATGCATGGAGCTGGACTTCCATCCTCATGATTGAAGATTTGCAGGGGGAAGACAGCTATGCAGATTCACAGGCTGTGGCTTTACACCAAATGCACTGTTCAACTTGCTTAACTTCGGTACGATTATTGTGCTTGGAGTTGGGCTTTTAGATTTATGATGTATACATTGAAATAATCCTTCAAAAATGATCTGTTTTTCAGTTCATCAAGTGTAATTATGAGTTCTATGATCCCTGGCCACGTAGTTCATAAAAAAATCTCTTTGATAGACTATACACCATGTAGGTATGGCCCATATAAAGTATTTACAATATAAATATTTAAAGATCTTGTAAAGTATTATATGACTACAGGATATAGGAACCATGAATATTTATTATATTCGGATATCACAGATGTATATCCGTTTGGCGATGTTGATGTATGTGAAGTTGTGAGCTAAGTGTGGGCTGGTGGAACAGTGTAGTAGGGAAAAAAAGAATGGGACTGCCATGTTCATAGTGCATTTCATAGTCCTGGTCTTGAGAGGCTTCCTTTAAATTGGCTATTGACATGAAGGGCAATTTTACTATGCCACTGCACCCTTCCAGAGGACTTCACTTACATGTGTACTTGAGTACAGCCAAACATATTAAAAGAGCAGGTTTATTCAGTGGTGTACTTTCAAGAGGGAATGAGGAAAACTCTAGATATGCTTTCCTTCAATGTAATCATATCTATATATAAGACCCAATGTTACCAGTCTAGTTGACCATAATAGGACCATAATAGGAATACAGATCCAAGACCTCTGTTTTTCTTAAAGCATAAGAAGCAGGTTTTAAGCAGACTACCTTTATTGGCTAAGAGAAATGAATGCTAAAAAACTTGTAAGAAAATGTAGAGAATTGTGCTTTCCCTATAGGCCTCTCTTGCCGACAATTCCCATGCAATTTTATTTGATGTGCAAAATGCAATTACCCCTAGCAACCAATCCTATACCATCTTTTAACTAATCTGCTATGAGAACGTCTACTATGAGATGCAGCACTCTACACATCCTGCTCTGATAGGCTGCCTGCAGCTCTGCATCCCAAGCTGGTTGGTCTGTTTCTCAGCGCACTGCTGCTGACTGTAGCGGCCGTGCCGCTCAACGTTCAGTTGCCCAGGCAACACAGCCACACTATGGGCTTCTCCTGCTGGCTCCCCATTGGCCGCTTCTCCTGCATTATCCACAACTTGGGCTTGCAGTGTCCATTTGTGAGGCAGCGCTATCTATCCTCCCTCCTGCCCTGACTGGTCCATTCCTCAAGAGGCGCCTGGTTTAAACATCACCGACCCTGTGCCTTGTGCTTGTGTTTGACTAGCTGCCACTGTGCCTGTGTCTGATCTTCTGAGTACTGACCCTATGCCTACTTCTGCTTGCTGCCTGGACCAACCATTTGCCTGTATATTGACTAAATTTTTGCCTGCTGCTTTGTCTATCCCTTTTTTTTTTTTTAACCACGTCTATTCGTTACCTGTACTGTTCCATTGACATCCCACTGACTAAAGTGATGCAGTGTCACCAGTTTAAGCCATCCACTGCGGGCAACTGTACTCCTGGTACCATGGCTACTATTTTCTTCCTTGCTCAGCCACCTGTGCTGCCTGGCCAGTGCACATGAAAGTTCACAGAGGAAAAGCACCAATGGCCTCGCTGATGCTGGTTATGAGCATAGTAGTACTGGAATAATCTGAATGTATACAGGATTAAAATTTTACAGCACTGAGCAAACTTGTGTATTTAGCTTTCTGAACTGCACAGAAAACAAAATAACTGAATTCCTCGATTATGAATCTTACCCTTTGCACCATCTGTCTGCTCTCTAGTCACATTGGGTGCGGCCTGGAATGACATGAAAAGCCGTTTGCAGAGATCAGGAGAAATATCTTCTGCCTCCAGATATGTTCTCAAGAAACGCTGAAATCCCTCATAATCTATTGACTGTAAATGAAAATATAAGCATAAGTTAAAACACACCTGCTTCCAGTCACACCTACTTCATACTGGCACTTTAAGGGTAAAAGAAAGCAGTCAATATGTTCCACTGCCAAGCATTAAAATCTACATTCTCATCCATTTCCCCTTCTCTGAAACCAGTAGGGAACCACTCTGGATTTGTGGTTTCATTAAAACCACGAGATAAAAAATGAGCATTAGAGATTTTATGCTAATCCTACAGGCTGCCTGAAAAATAGCACTGCAAAACTAAGGCTCTTTTATCACTCCTAACCCAACTAATTGCTATCAGAGCCCTGCAGCAAATTACATTTAATATGTGCTTTAAAAGAAAGGCATAGAGCACTCTGATTTATAAGACGATTCATGCTTTTCAGAACAGTTTCTGTTTTTTAAGTTGAAAAGATTCCATTGTCTGAAATGTTTGAAAGGTGAAAAAAACAATTGAAGAGTGCAGTCATAATGCAACAGAAATACATTCTTATGATATCCATCACATCAATCCCGGGATAAAGTGTGCTCTATATCATACATAACTACCGCAGTTGTGATACATGCCACATTTAAACGGAAGTACAAAAATATCTTGAATATGTGTTTTTTTTTTAAACAAAGTTTACATATAATCACATCACAGTCTTAGGCTCTCTATGTAAAATTAAGGTTTTTCAAACGAGGGCGTTTTTGGCAATTGTCTTGCCCTGGGGCTGGTAAGGTTTTGAACGCAATGACAAAATTATATTATACATGGTATTTTTGTAATGTAGGTTGAAATTTTCAACCCGATTATAAATAAATATATAT